TTTCATATTACCTACCTATATTATCAAAATGTCTGAAAACAGCGATATAGAAGGAATACCATCGACTCCATTATTTTTAAAAGATCAGATTAATTACAGTTGTTATATTCAATATAAATATAATTAGAATCTTTATAGTTTTCATATATCCATCATAATACCATTAAGTTTGTGTTTTTTTAAAAAAATATGTGTTGATTACTGTAAATGTGTTCAATACAAATATAATATTTATAGTTTTTCATTATTTATCGGCTTTAGAAAAATAGCGTATGCAACTCTCATGTAATGGTGATTAATACACTCGCATATACCATACAAAACTCGCCTTCGGCTCGTTTCGTATCCCGGTTAATGCTCGTGTCTTAATAACCATCATTACATGATCGTTGCATAATATACTATTAATAGAGCAGTTAGAAAACAAATTAGTGTTTTCTTCCATACCTTAAAAATACCCTTGTCTCCAAAATATCAAATAATATTCCACCCGAAGCCATGTTTATGCATTTCCATCAGGTCCAGGCTGATTGAGATGATGGATGAATGGTGGAACCATCCATCTCGATACATTATGTAGGCATTGTCAGGAACAGCTCCGAGTTAGACATGAATCTATATGTCCCTGCTGTTATGTGTGCATTCCGAGCAGAACAATAAATATTAACCCTTGTACGTTAGTCCATGGGTAATTGAAGGTGAGATGTGTTTGAATGTTACACAGGGTCAGAACTAATACAAAGGGATGTCATATTCGCAGAACATTAGGTATATCCCTCAAATCTTCGATTTGATATTATTTATTTGTTTCCACCGATAAATTGATGCCTACATCATACATAAAATTCAAAAAATGCGGAAAAGATTCCAAAAAAAATGTACTCCGGTGAAAGAAATAATCAAGTACCAGTATAAAGGATGACAATGAAATAGTATACATCCCTATTTGTTAATGTTCAACAAAGGGAGGGTAAAGTCATCAGTGCCATTCTAAACATAATATTATCAGCAGACGAATCCGAACATAAACCCTTTATTTTTTATGATAATCCGATATTATCGCTTCTATTCCCATTCTTACTATAACCATTCAATGTTCACCATGAAATAAAATGGTTAGAGGTTTCAAGTAACAAACCTCAATTATATCAAACATTCCACTCTGGGAAATGTAAAAAATATTTATCAACAAGGAAAGTATTTTCATCTAATATAAAATAGATAAATTTAACACAGGGTGTTTGAAGGTGGTTGACAATGTTTCGTGGTGTATTTCATCAGTTCGGACATATAATAGATATAAATTGATTTGATAACCCTGAAAAATCAAAAAGATAAACCGAAAATAACAATTTTATTATGTTGTTGTAAGTTATTTCTTAGTGATTTCAGTTTTTTGTTTAATAAAATTGTTATTTTCGGTTAATCTTTTTGATTTTTCAGGGTTATCAAATCAATTTATATTATATTAGACAATGGGAGTCCGAACTGACGAGTGTAATACAGGGTGTTTCCTAACTACAATACGAAACTTCAGGGGGTGATTAGATTCTTTTAAGAAAGAAAGTTTCTATGCAGATATGTCCGGAGTTTCTGAGATACAGGGCGTTGAAGTTTTAAAAAGCGGTGTTTATAAAATATCATAAATATCCATACACCGATTTGGTTGAACAGATATTTGAAGTAATGATGCGCCTATATAGCCTGAACTAGATTGAAATTATTAGGTCCCGCGGCGTCTCAGTGTGCACCACAGCCAACAATATTTTTTGTTTTTTATTTTTTTGGATTGAGCAACTGAAAATACAACATTTTTGTCGTTTGTGTTTTCTTTCTATCAAGTTTCGTTTTCGACAAAAAACATCACTCCTAAAAACTATCCGTGGACAACTTGAAATAAAAACCAAATGTAAATAATGAATAATTTCTACTTTAAAGTGAATGAGCAGAATGTCCACCTTTTGATAAAATACACGATTGCAATCGATTTGTCATGTCTGACATATTCAAAAATACCTGGAGTGTTCCTTATGATATTGCCATTGTCAATTATTAGATTCCTTGAATCACTCACATCTAGTACAGAAGTATTATAAACAAGAGTCTAAAGGATTCATATCAGGACTGCGAGTCGGCAAATTTTGAGGTCCTGCGCGACCAATATAACGATTGGGTTGGTGATGTCGAGATGCTAACGAGCAAGAACATTGGAATGAGGTGGAGCTGTGTCGTGCATAAACCACATGTGGCCTCTTGCATGTACCGGCACTTTTTCTGACCAAACGGGTAGATGATCTGTGTGGGATTCATCTTTCTAGTAAAAAAATTGCCAATAAGGTGTAGTCACCCATCATTCCTATCCAAACGTTTAGCGAAAATTGTTGCTAAAAATGACTTTCTCAAATACCGTGGCAATTTTCGTCGGCCCAAAAAATGCTCATCGTGAAAGTTTGTTACAGTAATTATCTCGTGAAAAATTTGCTTCGTCCGTAAATAAAAAATTTGATGAATAATTATTTTTGTGTGCCATCGTATGAAACAACCATCTGCAAAACATTAATCTTGGGTGAAAATCCCGAGGCAGTAGAGCTTGGACCCGCTGGGTATAGAAGATTCCTTTTTAGAACTGTTCATATGGTCTGGGCTGACTTTCAGCTACAGTGCAATCTTTCTGGTATTATTTGAATGATCTCCTTCTGTCGCATCAATTATAGCTTTTTCTAGTTCAGACGTTGTTTCAATTTCTGGTCTTCCAATACTTGCATTTTCATTAAAATCCCAGTTTCACATAATCTTGCATGAAGCGTTCTAAATGGTTTAGCACATAAAATAACTCTGTTGTAATATCTGTCCTGGAAAATTCTTCGTGCTTCTTCCGCATTTTCATGTTAGCCATTCAGCGTTAGTAAAATTATTTATGATGGAGTCACTGCGAATTGACAACTCTTTCACTGATATGACAACACCATCACTATCAGCTGGTCTCCATAGCAGGTGTTCATGATATGCGAAGTAACTTCAATTTTTTTTTCTCGAAAACGAGGCTATTTATGAAGAAAACACATGTGGCGAAAAAGTTTTATTTTTAATTGATTAATCGAAAAACATAAAAAAAGGAGTGGCGTTTCATTTCTATCGATATTGTTGGTTGTGATTCTGACTGAGACGCCACTGGACCTGATAATTCCAATTGAGTTCAGGCTTATTACTGCAAATAACTGTAGCAAATTTCAACCAAATAAATGTGAGGATATTAGTGATATTTTTCAAACATATATAATTTTTCAGTAAATTTCAACGCCCTGTATCTCAGAAACTGACATATGTTCTTAAAACGACCTAATGAATCACCCTCCGAAGTTCTGTACCGTAAATAGTAAGTACTCTGTATATTCCCGTCAAAATATATTATCAAAAATTGATCAAACAAAACTGAATATTATTTTGATCCATTGAGCTCGGTTTTACGAATAACTAACATTCAACCATATAGGACGAATTTGGTTTTTTTTTCAATTGTCAATTACTTCTTGCTGAGTTCAGCCTCATTCCTGATGGAATAGGCTACTGTTGCAACTTCCCTGAAAGCAAGTGATTTTCGAAACGCCTGATAATGCGTCTGTCCACAAACTATTTCTTGCACAAATCAGTGGAAAGCAACGTATATTATGGCTATGTTCAGGTTATCTCATACATTCAAAAACAAATCATGAACAAAACTATTAGTTATCATTCAATTCTACATTTATCGCTTTAACTTTGGAATCATAACGAACTGTAGCTATTTCAATAATCCTGTGTGATGAAGATGAAATTAAATTAGCAATTTTTGGAAAAAAAACGTATACTTATGCTTTCCACATAAATTGCAAAATTATTTTTCCCAAAAATTAATACCTCCTGAAAATATATACCCCTGTCAATTCAAACAGGATTCCTGTAGCTGAAACTGAACAAAATAAGCATATGAATGGCATTACGTACTGTGATTGAGAAGATTCGGATCATCCGTGACATAAAGATCTGAGGTTATGAATGAAAAGAGTGATTCATCTTGTTATGTTATCCAAACTGGTGTTGAAGGCGCAATGAAATAAATGTTTTATTCCTAAACTTTGAAGTCTGCCATTAAGAATAATAGTGTTTTATGAAGGTGGAATTTCATATCGTTAATCTCTCATATTGTGCAGCGTTCTTAGGAAAGATATTTCTTTCAGTTCCATGAGAAATATTTGAAGTACAAACTGAATGGTAAAAGTGATAGGGTAAAGCAGACAGTCATCGGCCACCGGGTAGTGATTGGCATAGCCTCAGTTTTTCATAATTAATAATGATCTTGTGAGAAAGAAGCGGAATTTAATTTCATCAGATGGCATCGGCAACCTTTCAGAATATGTTTTCCTGTTTTCCAAGTCATATCGCATAACCTCAAATAACTACGTTGTTGTGAATAAGTTCGTGCTCTCTGTTCTTCAGTCTGTGATCAGATATATCAAGAACTATTCATATCGAGTGTTGTACGAGGTCAAATAATTTCCAATGTAAGTAGATTATCACATTTTTTTATGATTTATCAGTTTGAAGAACATTGAAGACAAATTATTCAATGGCAGGAAAATGATTTTTATGGTCAAAATTCTTGTTTTACCGTATGCCAATCACGGGCTTCAAATTTGATATCTAAAATAGTTATTGGCCATATGGCCAATGACTCCATGGTTGAAATTTTGCACTATTTTACATTTCTTAGTTCATTCAAATCCATTTCAGAACCTAATTGACAGTAAACTATCAATAATGTTGAAAATACCATCGTATATAGTGGTTGGCCATATGCCAATCACTATAATCGACCATATGCCAATAACTATATGGCCATTCGAAATGAATTGAAATATTTTTGTTTGTTCCTTTCTAGATGCCGAAAGTACAAGAAGGGAGAAAATATGAGAAGAAGTACACAGAAGAAACTATCACCTCAGCTTTAGCAGCCATAAAAAATGGTATCTCTCAAAGACAGGCCTCTAAATTATTTGGTGTGCCTCGTCAAACGCTGCAATTCAGAAAAAGTGAAAAGTTCCACAGTTAAACTAACTTGGGACCAAATCCCATTCTCACACATGAATAGGAAACGATTTTAGAAAACTGGATCCTCAATAGTTAAGTACAAGAAAGGTTTCCCGGTCATAAAATTTGATATACAAGTATCTGTGAAAGAATTCTTGGATGCAAATCCTCGGGATAATCCATTTTGTGATCATATATCTGGCGACGGATGGTACAGGGCTTTTCTCAAACGACATCCAGCTCTAACTCACCACACCCTAGAGGCTGTAACAGCAGCTAGTTCTGTTATTTCAGAGTCAGACATACGACATTGGTTTACTTTGGTGGAGGAATATCTCAAGGGAAAGGGTTATTTTGATATATTGAGAGATCCAACCAGAGTGTTCAATGGGGACGAGACATGTTTTTTCTTTTGTCCTAAAAATACCAAGGTTATTGCTCCTAGAGGTGCAAGAAACGTTTATGAGGTAGACTCTGCCCAAGCAAAAACGAACATAACCGCCATGTTCACTGCTGCTGGTCAGGTGACAGAACCTATGATAATATTTCCGTATAAGAGGCTACCAGCTTCCATCATAAATTCGGTACCAAGTTCTTGGGGAATTGGTCATAGTGACAATGGTTGGATGAAGGTGGAATTGTTTTACGAATATATCGGCAATGTCTCATATCCGTGTTTGAAAAATAGTGGAACTAAATTTTCGGTCATTCTTTTCGTGGATCGACATTGTACTCATCAAACTTTGAAGTTGAGTCAGCTATGTACGAAACTAGAGATTATTTTGATAGCACTCTTTCCAAATGCTACCAGAATTATGCAACCTGCTGATGTGGCAGCTTTCAAGCCACTCAAAACGGGATGGAAAAAAGCTGTATTGGAGTTCAGAAGGTAAAATCCTCAACAAATACTAACCAAGGAAAAATTTGCTACAGTATTGAAAATCGTAATTGATCAGTGTGCCAAGGTGGATATAATAACACATGGGTTTCGAGTCAGTGGTTTATTCCCATGGAATGCCTCTGCTATTGATTACGAGAAATGCCTTGATTTGAACAAAAATGAAATTGAAATAATCCACGATAAAGAGGAACCACAAGAAACCAAAGATGCTTTCATTTCATATAACCACTTCAAAAATATAGTAGGAGATGGAAGAATTAGAATTTTTGAACAAATCGACAGACTCAATAATAATAATGATGAGTTAATTATATCGTACAAACTGTACAAAGAATTCAAAAAAATGAAACCTTGGTTGCAGATGCTGAGACTGATGATGCTTCATATATCACAAGTGAAATACCTGCAGAGACAAAGATCAGTGAAGATATAGATATAAAAAATCTCGAAATGATTTTTGCAAATGATATTTCACCATCTGTGAATACCGAGGATCATGTACATACCGTGACATATGAGGTCATAGACTCGTTAGAGGAAAAAAATCATACTGGCACGAATCTTGATGAAAGAAATGAGTTTGGAGATATTATAAATGAAGAAATGATGAAAATATCAGAAGAAACAGTTAGTGCCACAAATGAAATAAATTGTGAATTTGATAAGCAGTCAATGAAAAATACCATGAATGGGACCATGGGCCGAATAAAAATGAAGAATCCGACGCTTTCGTCACTGCAAGTACATTACAAGAGAATCATGATGAAAGATGAATCAATCCAGTGAATTATAGTCTTCACGATCATGTGACCCCGGTAAGAAAGGGTAAGAAAAATAGTGAAAGATTAGCATCTGTTCTAACGAGCACTCAATGGAAAAACATTCAAACGGAAAAACTGGAAACTAAGAAAAAGGAAGAAAAAGAAAATAGAAAAATAGAAAGATGTTTGAAAAAAGCTGAAAATGAATAGAAGTTAGAGAAAAAGAAGGCAATCAAGAGGAAAACATCAAATGAGTCAAAAACAGCAAAAGGTAAAGTGATTTGCAACTGGCAGAAATCCCAACTAAAATTTCTTCAGATGATTCAGTGGAGCAGGAAAGTGCTACTCCCCAACCTTCCTCAAGCAACAGCCAAGTAAACATTTTATCATATGTCACAATTGCACGATAAAAACACGTGAGGAAAGTATTCGGTGACGACGAGAGCAATAATTCTACAGAAAACAATCAGGAAAAATTACCTTTTCCCAATAATCAGATTGCTCTTGGCAAAGTCTGCTTCATCTGTACGAACAAGATTAGCCTAATATCAAAAGGAATCAAATGCTATGGATGTGAAAGAACTTACCATAATAGGTGCATTATTAGACTGACACCATCAACTGGTAAATCCTGTTCACAAATTTATTATTGTAAAACCTGCTCAGACAAACCAAATATTTCTTGAAATCATTATTATAATATATCAGTTAAATGAATTGAAGTCCTGATAGGATTTGAAAACCTGAAGTTTCATTTCATTTGGGTATGCCAATCACTGTAAGTCTTATCCCCAATAACAGTAATGAAACGGCAAAAGACTGTGGATTTTGCATTCTTGAAAAATTATATAAAATTCTGGATTTAAATGGAAGTAGGGCACTATTTGGTTCACTTTTCTCCTACTTATATTTTTCAGAATGATTGTTTGACAACAGAATCCTTCTAAATGTCCATATTTATTCTATTAAAACAGATGAACTACAAGACAGGCCTTAAGAGGCCAATGACTGTACGCTTTACCCTATTCGTATATTTCAATGTTCACATAAGGGTAGCTGTTTCGAAAGAACTTTTTTTCGTGTTATTCAATGTTCATTTGAAAGTAATGGATGGATTTTTCTTTCAGTTTGTATCTGAATGAAGATGGAGAAGTAGAATTCCAAAACTATTTTCTCCTGATACTGTACCCCTTTCAATTTGATTCAGCCACCTTCAGAGCACTATTGAAATGAATTTATACTATTTTTACAATGTAGGACTAGAAGTAAAATCTAGCAAAAAATTTCAATATACTTATACTCCACCTATTCTCGTTAATAAGCAAGTGAAACTCATCGATTGAAGACTTTTCCTTCACATTAATTTTTATAATTTCCAAAAAGACTACATTCGTATAAACATTGCTAATTATTTCTTGACGTGAAAACCAAAACTGGGCAATCTGATCATAACTCATTTTCGAATTTGTTGAAATTGAAGAAAGTTAATTCAAAAAAAGTCACACCTGGGGTGAATTGTCACTCCATTAGGGTTGTTCTACTTTTTTTAAAGTGGTTGACAATGTTTCATGGTTAATTTTGTCTTCAGACATATTAGATAATGGAAGTCGGAACTAATAACATTCTGACAAGAGACCTACAATTTTTTTATCTGTTGATTGAAACCGTGTTCAAACAAAAAATGAATTAACGGAGTATTGATTATCGCTAGAAAAAAAAACAAAAAACAAAAAGTTCAACATGGGATGAGAACTTCAGCCACAGGGTGGTTATCTACAGGTGGTTTAAATTTAGGTGATATGCAATGAATCAATGAAATGGAACAAAAAACTGAGAATCATCGATCGAAACAATATTTATGAATTACAAGTTATTCATTCGAATTATCAGCTTGAAAAATTAGAAATATTTCCCCCATTGCGTTAAAGTTATTTTTATCGAGTTGAACAGCATTTAATTACACTTGAACAGTTCAATCGATGAAAATGCTCATATCAAGTGCCAACAACATAAACAGTTTCGCTGACCAATTATATTTTTAGATATTCAACAATACAGTGTCACCCATAAAGTCCGCATCAAATGGGAAACTTTTTTATTTATCGTTTTATGTGAAATTTGATTTTGGCAGTAGATTTTGCTTAAGAAATGATGTCAAATGGCGTCTACAAAATAGGTCACGTGATTTCCTTAACCTGTCAAAATTGACATTTAAAAAAAGAAACATCGAAAAATGACATTATTCTTCAAAATATCCAAAAATATCAAAGGAT